ACTCAAGCCAAGGTTAGCTTTAAGGGTTTTTTTTTTTTTTTTTTTTTTGCCCACTATTATATATCTGAAATTCATCCATATTTTACATACAGCAGTAGTTTTGTCTTTTTTCTTACTGAGTAATATTTCTTTGAATGTAAATATACCACGACATCATTTATCCATTCTGCTGTTAATGGATTCGGGTGAACTTCATATCTTGGCTTCTGTGAATAAAATGGCAATGAACAGGCCGGGCGCGGTGGCTCACGCCTGTAATCCCAGCACTTTGGGAGGCCGAGTCGGGTGGATCACAAGGTCAAGAGATCGAGACCATCCTGGTCAACATGGTGAAACCCAGTCTCTACGAAAACTACAAAAAATTAGCTGGGCATGGTGGCGCGTGCCTGTAATCCCAGCTACTCAGGAGGCTGAGGCAGGAGAATTGCCTGAACCCGGGAGGCGGAGGTTGTGGTGAGCCGAGATAGCGCCATTGCACTCCAGCCTGGGTAACAAGAGTGAAACTCCGTCTCAAAAAAAAAAAAAAAAAAAAAATGGCAAGGAACATCCTCAAACATGGTTTTCACTATCATCAGTACATCCCTAGGAAAACTCTAGGCTATTGCCTGGATGAATAGATGTGGCTAATAATTCCTTGAAAAGGGTAATTTTATCTAAGCCCCACAGCTAACTGTCATTGTCATTACTATCATGCAACAGAGAAGGGAACCAGGGCTTGAGCAGGCTGAGTGACTTTCAAGGTATCATCTAGCTGTGAAGTGGAAGTGTCTGAATTAGAACGTGTGGCTGACTGAGGCAGGGCCTGCCCTTTTCACCCACGCTCTGCACTGTCTCCTGTCTGCCTACAGTCCGGTTTTTCTGAGGGTTTTTCGTTCTCTTTTCTTCTTTCTGAGAATGCAGAGCAGACAGTGAAATTTCTATTCTCCAAACTAGCCTGATCTTACATACTCTGGTCTTTATATAAATTATTTTATGGAGGTACAGGTTGAGTATCCCTTATCTGAAACATTGGCAACAAGAAGTGTTTCACCTTCCAGTCTTTTTTCAGATTTTGAATTATTTGCCTTATACTTACCAGTTGAACATCCCTAATTTGAAAATCCGAAATCTGAAATACTCCAAGGAGCGTTGCCTTTGAGCATGACCTTTGAACATCATGTCACTGCTTTAAAAGGTTCACATTTTAGAGCATTTCAGATTTTAATCTTTCACATTAGGGATGCTCAACCAAACATTTAAGACTTGTACACTATACTGTGTATATACTTGTACACTATATTGTATATGTACACTATACTGTGCATGTCCTTTGCAGGGACTTGGATAAAACTGGAAACAATCATTCTCAGCAGACTGACACGAGAACAGAAAACCAAACACTGCATGTTCTCACTCATAAGTGGGTGTTGAACAATGAGAACACATGGACACAGGGAGGGGAGCATCACATACCAAGGCCTGGAGGGTTGGGGGGCTTGAGGAGGAATAGCAGGGGGTGGAGGGATTGGGGAGGGATAGCATTAGGAGAAATACCTAATGTAGATGATGGAGTGATGGATGCAGCAAACCACCACCATGACACGTGTATACCTATGTGACCTGAACGATCTCTACATGCACCCCAGAACTTAAAGTATAATAAGAAAAATAAATAAAAAAGAAAGGAAAGTATTGATTAAATATTTTGCTGCTGTTGTCACAGCTGCACACAGGGAAGTCTCCATTATTTCACCAGCTACAGACTTCCTAGAAGTAAGTGCAGCAGAGTAATTAACCTATTAGCACACCTGTTTCTATTGTTTTTGTAACCACCTGAGGGCTTGAGGGCTTCTTTCTACCCACTGCGAAAAGAAAGACTTCCCTGTTATAGTAGAAAAAGAGGTTGCGGTGAGCCGAGATCGCTCCATTGCACTCCAGCCTGGGTAACAAGAGTGAAACTCCGTCTCCAAAAAAAAAAAAAAAAGAAAGAAAAAGAGTTTAATAGATTGGAACTCTTGGAGGCAGGTTTCCCGTTTTATTCCCCTGCACAACATTTGGCATAGAACTGATAATCAGGGGCAATTTGTTGGGGGCAACAAAATCCAGTTCTCTACTGGGAAGTAAGCATGTGATGATGGCTTTATGGTTATGTGACAATTGTCCAGAGAGTACCCACTTTTGTGGATTTGGTTCAAACTGATGATCAAATGTGGCCATCACTTTGTGACCATCAAAGGTGTTGTGCAGCCCCTTTTTCTTCCATTATCCCCTCAGAGCCTTGTATAGCTTGAAGTAGGGCGATTTCTGAAGATCTTTGTATTTAATAACATAATCCCAGCATATCCTTTCAGTCAGAATTGTAATCTTCAAAAACTGTTCTCAGCATCGCACCCTAGTTTCAACTATGGGAGTGAGTGGGGAGAGAGATAGATTTTCAGGAAAAGTTGCTCCATGTGGTCCCATTCCCAGCTGTGCATGCTCACAAGGCTGAGCTGGGAGCCTGCAGGGAAGGTGACAGCAGCACTCACAGCCCCACTTCACTGGCAGCAAATGAGACTCCCAGGCTCCACCAATTCTCCCAGAAGCCATGGCCTGGGTGATTCTAATGCTCCTGTGTCAATCTTGGAAGACTAGTCACATTCGCCTCTCTCGACTCTCTCAGCATGCCTATTACCTAATGGAGCGGAGCCTTGTGCACACATGAAATGATGCGAGGGCTTGATGGACTCCAGAGGCAAGCTTGTAGGTCATTCGATTTTCTCTGTGACAAACACTCACTTATGCAGCTGGTGTTAAGGCTGTGTCTACTTTGGAAATGCCCAGGTCTTGGCTCCGGGCATTATGCACAGCTGGTGTCCTGTTGAAGTCTCAGCTGCCTGTGTATGCTATGCTGCTAACATCCTAGCCCCAGAACACCCCAAGGTTTCTGAATACCAAATATGGCACTGCCAGGAGGGAGGAAACACACCAAACGTGGCATGAGCTGTGCTGTCTTCAGTACGTTTACCAAGATTTTATAAAAGTGCATACTAGGCCAGGCACGGTGGCTCATGCCTGTAATCCCAGCACTTTGGGAGGCCAAGGTGGGTGGATCACAAGGTCAGGAGTTGAAGACCAGCCTGGCCAAGATAGTGAAACCCTGTCTCTACTAAAAATACAAAAATTAGCCATGCGTGGTGGCAGACACCTATAATTCCAGCTACTTGAGAGGCTGATGCAGAGAATTGTTTGAACCTGGGAGGCAGAGGTTATGGTGAACTGAGACAGCGTCACTGCACTCTCTGGGTGACAGAGAGAGACTCCAACTCAAAAAAAGAAAAAAAAAAGTGCCTATTAGCCCAGTGAGACATGTATAAGCACAGTTACTACAGCCTTGTCTGTATAGGCAAAGTTGCAAATGACCTTAATGATCAATAAGAGAATGGTAAGTAAACTGAGACGCAGGTGTAAGAAGGAACAGTATGCAACAATAAAGAAGACTGAGGTAGACGGAAAGATATTCACGATATATTAAGTTAAAGTAGAAATGTGGGTACAGTGTAGTGCTATTTATCTCAAAATAAAACTTTCACATCAAAGCCACTATTTTCTAAATGCAGATATATGTATGTAAATACATAGGAGTGGGTCTGTAAAGAATGTACCCCAAACTGGTAACTACAGAACTTCTCTAGATAAAAGGGGGACTCAGGAGAGGGTGGTTTAGGGAACTTTAGTGGTATTGCTTGATTTTTTTTTCAATAAGAATGTATATTTATAGGCTGTGTTATTAATACTAAAAAAGCACTAATAAAATATGACAAAGATTCTGTGAGAATGCACGTAGTATCTTTCCATCTTGTGTAATGACAGTCTGATTCACCTCCGTGTGGATCCAAAGCTTTGGAAGGTGATGCTTTAGAAATTTAAACTTCAGAGTATTCAGGCAAGCCCTTATTGTTTAGAATATATATTTATATGTATTTGGAGCCTATAAAAGGCCATTTGTACTTAAAAGTTTTCATATGAGATATGTATCTAAAATTTAGTTATTTTCACCTATCAGAATAACAATTGAGAAGATTAAAATGATCCAAGGAGAACAGGACATGTCAGAATAGACACATATATGATGTTGGCGAGAGTGGAGGTTGCTACCAACTTTTGAAAGGGCGTTTGTCATCTATCAAAATTGCAAATACTAGTCCCTTTGATCTAACGCTTCCACTACCAGGGATTTATCCTACGCAAGTGCACAAAAACATACGTTTAAAAACATTCATCAAAGCGTCATTTATAAGAGGAAAAGTTCAGAATTCTAAATATTCACGAATTTGGCTCAGGTCTCAAAAAATTAGTAGCAGTAGCATGGGTAACGAGGATGGATTTGAGGTAGTATGATTTAGGTTTAGTGACTTTCTGCAGTTGGATAGGGAAGAGGTAAGGATGGCTTGTGTAACCTGGGCAGCGGGGTGGATGGCGAAGGCATTAACTGAGATAGTATATGGCGTTTCTAGGATGAGCTGGCTGTGATATCTAGTCTAGTGCTTGTGTATGGAGAGCATAAATTAGCTGGGGGAGATCCCGGGGATGAAAATGGGGGTGGTTGTCAAGAAGAAGGGAATAAGGAGGAACAAGGATTTAAAAGGAGGTAAAAATGGGCTAGGTGTGGTGGCTCGTGCCTGTATTCCCAGCACTTTGGGAGGCCGAGGTGAGTGGATCACCTGAGGTAAGGGGTTTGACACCAGCCTGGCCAACATGGTGAAACTCCATCTCTACTAAAAATATAAAAATTAGCTGCGCGCAGTTGTGCATGCCTGTAATCCCAACTACTCAGGAGGCTGAGGCAGGAGAATCATGTGAACCTGGGAGGCAGAGGTTGCAGTGAGCCAAGATTGTGCCACTGAACTCCAATCTGGGAGACAGAACGAGACTCTGTCTCAAAAATAATAATAAATAAATAAATAATAAAAGGAAGTAAAATGGTGACCATAAAGAATTCTAAATTAAAAGGGTCGGCCAGACCTGCTTTATGTTACAAACCAGAATCCGGAGACTTCAGAAGTTACGTAATTGATGTGATTAAAGCTACAGAGTTTTAGGTGGTTGAAGCAGGATTTTAACTCAGTCTCATCTTATTGCAAAGCAATATTCATTAAGCCAAAATGCACCCGCTATCATAATGTGTGATTAGCAAGAAGATATCTTATGTGATGAGCCAATATAACAAAACATTTATGAAAAGTTAGAAATGACAAATACCAACATCTGACAACAAGTCCTTGGAATACGTACGCATCTGCAAATGGGAATAATAGTAGTATTATGTGTTTAAAACTGCAGATGTTAGTGTATGCCCAGGAGCCATATAAAAATAATCTTATTTAATCCTCGTCAAATTCTGTGAGGTGGGTAACTTCTAACCCCATTCTACAGATGAAGAAATGGAAACCCAGAGACTGAGTGACCTTCTATACTAATGCCTTAGAATTGGTAAGTGACAGAGCTCACATAAAAACTTATGCCTCAGGATTCTTCAGGATATTTTTCCGTGTGCCACCTTCTCTCCCTTTGGGGTAAGAGTACCTACCTGCCTGCCATAGAGGGTGCTTTCAATTTCACCTCAAAAATTCACAGGACTCAGACATCTGATGATTCTGGTGTGGATGGTCCAGAGATTACATTTTGAGAACCAATGTGTTTTGAGAATAATAAACCATAGCAGCCCTATAAAAATGTAATAATATTTATTTCTGTTTATCGTTATGAGATTTTTCTTGGAAGGAATAAGTCCATTTTAACTTTTTTTTTTTTTTTTTTTTGAGACAGAGTCTCACTCTGTCACCAGGCGCCAGGCTGGAGTGCAGTGGCACAATCTTGGCTCACTGCAACCTCCGCCTCCCGGGTTCAAGCAATCCTCCTGCCTCAGCTCCCTAGTAGCTGGGACCACAGGCATGTGCCACCATGCCCAGCTAATTTTTTTGTATTTTTAGTAGAGACGGGGTTTCACCATGTTGGCCAGGATGGTCTCGATCTCTTGACCTCATGATCTGCCCGCCTCGGCCTCCCAAAGTGCTGGGATTACAGGCATTTTAATTTTTTAAAACCTGAATAAGTAAACATTTGAGTGTATGTGTGTGTGTGTGTGTGTGTAACTACATCCGTGGGTGTAAGTGGATTTAGGTTCCCTATTCAGCCACATCAGGCTTGGCCAGCTGTCCGGATAGTTTCCACACCCATGCAGCTGGGTGGCTTTCTTAGGAACCACGTCAATCACAGATTTGCTTCCTTTTCATTTCCTAGGTGTCAACAATAAACGGCTTGGTGTCTGTGGCTGGATCCTGTTTTCCCTCTCCTTCCTCTTGGTGATCATGACCCTCCCCATCTCTATATGGGTGTGCTTGAAGGTAACACCCTGGGAAATAAACTGGGTTCTCTATATGAACTGACAATCATTAGGACTAAATGTTCTCCTTTAATCTCCTAGATCATTAAGGAGTATGAACGCGCTGTTGTTTTCCGTCTGGGACGCATCCAAGCTGACAAAGCCAAGGGACCAGGTATGAACGACGCCGTGGCTGCCCCTGACAAAGATCAGGAACACCTAATGCTACTGCCACCACCTTCACTATTTTTCCCGATGATGCCTATTGAGAGTCAAAGAAAACTTGCTGGAAGCTGGTCCTCTCGCCCTTCTGCGCAACAGAAGAATGCCCCCTCTTTATGCAAGTCAGTGGGAATGACCACCAGTTTGAGAGTTTGGAAATCTGGCCCTGCCTCCTAATTCTCCCTCTGAGAGAGTCAGTGAATGTGAGCAAAGGGTGGCTCTGGTTACAGTGGCTGAATGTCACTTATTACCAGGGCCACCAGGAGAATGTGGAAAGAATAAAGGGAGAAGGCCGGGTGCGGTGGCTCACGCCTGTAATCCCAGCACTTTGGGAGGCCGAGGCGGGTGGATCACGAGGTCAAGAGATCGAGACCATCCTGGTCAACATGGTGAAACCCCGTCTCTACTAAAAATACAAAAAATCAGCTGGGCATGGTGGCGCGTGCCTGTAATCCCAGCTACTCAGGAGGCTGAGGCAGGAGAATTGCCTGAACCCAGGAGGCAGAGGTTGCGGTGAGCCAAGATCGTGCCATTGCACTCCAGCCTGGGTAACAAGAGCGAAATTCCGTCTCAAAAAAAAAAAAAAAAAAAAAAAAAAAGAATAAAGGGAGAAAGTAAATGGCCAACGTACACCATTAAGTTACTCAAGGAGAGTTTACTGAGAGCTGGTGCTTGATGCTCACTCTTTGAAAAGGGCTAATGGCAAAGCAAAAGGTAATTTTCTCTCCTGGCAAGTAGACTCAGAGAAAGACAGAGCTGGAAGCCACTGTTCGCCTTTTGCCAAATCCTCTGGTTTTGAAAATAAAAAAAACATGAGGCCAACATAAGTTTGATGAGTTATCTAAGATTATCCTTATAGTTAGAAATAAAGATGAGCTTCCAGGCCTTCTAACATCTGGAATAATATAGTGTTTATTTCCATCCTTTCTTTACAACCTTGGAAAAGAAAATGTTCCAAATGGTCATGTTATAAATGAATGTGGGTTTTTTGTTTGTTTTATGCCAGGGGCCGGGGAGTATACCAAAACTATAAGGTATTAAAACTCCCTAGAAGTAAGATATTGATTTAATACTCATAACTTCTCTGGGCATATATCTAGTTGAACCATATGAAATTGCTAAATTTGTTTTGAATCCTAGACATGGCAATTTCATAGGATTAATCCTAATACTCTGGAAATGAGGGGCTATCCAAAACAGTGTCTTAGAAGGCACATGAAAAGCAATCATTGCTAGCTATATTTCTGTGATAACATTTGCTTTCTGCCCCGATTATGGCTTATTTGGATAAATTGTTCTCTCTGCAATTGGAAAGTCTCAGGGGCAGAAACTTTCCTAAGCACCACGATGCTCTATGTGCTTTGCCCTTGGCCATAAGCCATGGATCTGTTAATGAATAAAAAAGTATGGGAAACTTCAAGAGGAGAAGCTTGTGAAGTAGGCTTGGCCTCTTTTTTTTTTTTTTTTTTTTTTTTTGAGACAGAGTTATGCTCTGCCACAGAGGCTGGAGTGCAGTGGCACAATCTCGGCTCACTGCAACCTCTGCCTCCTGGGTTCAAGTGATTCTCCCACCTCAGCCTCCTGAGTAGCTGGTATTACAGGCACTCACCACCATGCCTGGCTAATTTTTGTATTTTCGTAGAGATGGTGTTTCACCATGTTGGCCAGGCTGGTCTTGAACTCCTGACCTCAGGTGATCTGCCCACCTCAGCCTGCCAAAGTGCTGAGATTACAGGCGTGAGCAGTCATTTCAAGTATAATCTTACTTGTCTAATTTTATAAAGGACCTAAGAAAAAGAAGGCCACAACTACTTATAGATGTTCTCATGAGTTTGGCAAAGCAAGAGTCATCCAACTGAGGTATCACAGCACAAGGCTAACTTCTTCCTGGCCGTGTTCCACCTGGTGGGGCTAAGATTACAAGTTACAATAAAATTGGATCTGAGAGAAGCAGAACAGCCAGAACTTTGAAACCTCTAGAGAAAAATATATCACTTTTAAATGAATTTTCCCCAAAGATTTTACTATTGCATGTCTCAGGATAACAACTCTCGTCATACGTGTCTCTTGGGTTAGTGAGTTACCTCAGAATGTCACAAGGACAAGAGGGAAACAAGCCAAATTGCTCATGGAAAACCTCTCCACTTTTATAAATTGTAAATTATTCTTGAATAATAGCTGCCACTTCATGAGCCTTCAGTACATACCTCGCGCTGTGTTTAGTACATTATTTCATTACCATGTTGAAGCATGCTTAAGCTTCACTACCAGCTGATATGTATTAGGTAACTGAACCATTAGGTGAATTTTTTCTGGTCACAAGGCTACTAGGTTTTAGGGCTGGAACTTAACTCTCTCTAGTTCTCAGGTCCATGATCCTAACCACTGTGACCTGGCACCAAAAATGGAAGTAAGGTTTAGAGGCCAAAAGAAAGAAAGCACCCTAGCGGCGCATTTTGCTGATACTGCCACCCCTCTATGTGATGTTCGGCCTTAAAACTGGTTTCTGCCATGAAAACAAAAACAAGAATGCAAAGCCTTCTTGATGAATGGAAATAGATTAGTGCCCCCAGCTTGCTGACATGCCTTGTGGTTCTAATCTTTGTAACTCTCAGAGTAAAGAAACAACATTCGCCAGGGTAATGTCAAGAGTTCCAAGGGTCCTCAAATGAGCCTTCTTACGACCATCCTGCCCTGACTCAGCCCCAACTTAATGCCTTACAAATAAGAAAGGAGTAGATGTGTTTACAATTGGGAAAATGGCACTGTACATGACTTAGATCATGGCTGCGGAGAAGCTATTAATTCTGGAATACATTGATTTAGGGAATGTGAGATCCTGGGAAGATTTTAGTTCAATTATCCTTCATTACTTTTTAAATTGACTGAGAATGTTGGCAGTCACTGATATTCAAAGCCAAGAGTCTATTACTTGAATCTATTATGTAAGTATCTTTATTATAAGGATATTACTTTCCAAAATATTTTATTTTTTTGGTGGAGTATTTTAGAGCAAATATAAAATATCATATCATGTCATTTTACTTGTAAACACTTTAGTCTGTATATCTAGCTGATAAGGACTTTATTAACATTAACACCATGCTGCTGTGGTCTGAGTATTTGTGTCCCTCCAAAATTGATAAGTTGAACCTAATCACCAATGTAATGATATTAGGTAGTGGGGCCCCTGGGAGGTAATTAGAGCATAAGGGAGTTGTCCTCACGAGTGGAATTAGTGCCCTTGTAAAGGAGGTCCCAGAGAGCTGCCTTGTCCCTCCCAGGACACCACATGACCATCTACAAACCTGGAAATAAGCCCTTATAAGACACTGCATCTATGAGCACCTTGATCTTGGACTTCCCAGGCTCCAGAACTGTATGAAATATACTTGTTGTTTACATGCCACCCAGTTTATGGTATTTTGTTACAGCAGCCTGAACAGACTTAAGACACATGCCGTTATCACAACCAGTACAATGAACAAGAACACCTTAATATCTGTTTTTGGTTTTTGTTTTTTGTTTATTTTGAGATGGAGTTTTGTTGTTGTCACCCAGGCTGAAGTGCAGTGGTGCAGTCTCAGCTCATCGCAACCTCCGCCTTCTGGGTTCAAGCGATTCTCCTGCCTCAGCCTCCCAAGTAACTGGGATTATAGGTGTGCAACCATGACCAGCTAATTTTTTTTTTTTGTATGTTTAATAGAGGTGGGGTTTCACCGTGTTGGCAGGTTGGTCTTGAACTCCTCACCTCAGGTGGTCCACCCGCAGTGGCTTCCCAAAATGCTGGGATTACAGTTTTGAGCCACCACGCCCTGCCTTAACATCTTTTTATATGCATTCTGTGTTCATTTTTCTCACTTGTCCCAAAGGTGCTTTCACCATTGGTCAGAATATTATTTTTAATTCATGTCAAATTAAACACTTGGATAGAAGTTGATCGTTTAAAAAAATGAAAATGAAAAAATAAATGTCAGGGATCTTTAGCTTCTTACCAAAAGACTACTTCCCAGGCAATTACTTCTTTATAGTCACTGACTTAGAGGAAGAAATCAATTTCCTCACAGTGACATGTGTTCATATTGAAGACCACCTGAGAAACATATATAGCCCCATGTAAACGATGCACCATATTGCTATGAGACTACTTGCAGTTATTGTCTACAGAGCAACATTTTAAACTGATTTTTTTTTTCTCATAGGTTTGATCCTGGTTCTGCCATGCATAGATGTGTTTGTCAAAGTTGACCTCCGAACAGTTACTTGCAACATTCCTCCACAAGAGGTAGTGCTGATTAGAGATATGTCACTTGAAACTAAACTTGTGTTTTCCCTATTGCATGGGCAATTACAATTTTATAGTACACTTTTAAACGACAGGAGGGAGGATGAGCTGAGTACCCCCAGAGACCTGCTTGAATTGTGCTTGGTGGCTCCTGAAACTACTAAGAATTTGTTTTGCCAAATGAGAATGAAGCCAAGAGCAAGGGGTGAATGGTTAGAAGACTTGGAATGGCTTGGTGTGAGAAAGCCTGACAGCAGAGATCTAGTCAGCAGGGAAGCTGGGATGGAGAATGACAGAGCCGAGACTTGGAAGAGATAGTCACTGTATGAAGGAGCTGAACCAATTCTGACAGAGGGCAGATGAAGGGCGGTGGCTGGTTTTGATACCACCCTCTCTATCACCTTCTCAGAAGAGTGTTTAGTAATATCTACATGAGTCACATTTGCGTTTGACTTTAAATCGTTTCTGTGTTTGGATGCAATAGAGGGAGCAGGAGGATAGAGGAGAGGCTGCACAGGGCCCACTTGTGTTTGTATTTTACATAAGTTTTTTTTTTTTTTGCCTTTTTTTTTTTTTTTTTGTTGGAGATGGAGTTTTATCCTTGTTGCCCAGACTGGAGGGCAGCAGTGCCATCTTGGCTCACTGCAACCTCTACCTCTTGGGTTCAAGCAATTCTCCTGCGTCAGCCTCCCAGGTTGCTGGGATTATAGGTGCCTGCCACCACGCCCAGCTAATTTTTATATTTTTAGTGGAGGCAGGGTTTCATTATGTTGGCCAAACTGGCCTCGAACTCCTGACCTCAGGTGATCTGCCCACTTTGACCTCTCAAAGTGCAGGGATTACAGGAGTGAGCCACCATGCCCAGCCCACGTGAGTCTTTTAATTCCTGAAGTACTGCAAGTAAATGATCGAAATAGTAACTCAGCAATAGGGAAGAGGAAGAGTTACTAATTATCATGTCACCTATTCATAACCAAAGTGATTCAGGTTGGAGGAAAAGAAATGGAGGACCTAGGATATGGGAGGCCAATGATGATAAGAAGACAGAAAATCAACAATTATATGTATATGTTAATTTTCTTCTCTCTGGTTCAAGAAACTCAACCAGGACCCAAAGATGATGTCTTCCTGTCACTCAGGAACTGCAGAATACTTGCTTTGAATTCAGCCCCAGGCCGGGCTTGGTGGCTCATGCCTGTAATCCCAGCACTTTGGGAGGCTGTGGTGGGAAGATCACTTGAGTTCAGGAGTTCAAGACCAGCCTGGCCAACATAGTGAACCCTCATCTCTACTAAAAATACAAAAATCAACCAGGTATAGTGGCAGGCACCTGTAGTCTCAGCCACTCAGGAGGCTGAGGCAGGTGGATGTTGCAGTGAGCAGATATTGAGCCATTGCAATCCAGCCTGGGTGACAGAGCAAGACTCTGTCTCAAAAAAAAAAAAAAAAAAAAAAAAAAAAAGAATTCAGCCCTCGTCAGGAAAGGCTGGGATGCTTAGTGACCTACAGCAGGGACTTTTCTGGCTCTGCTATGGACAGTTTTAGGTTCTTTTCCCATAGTATACCCAGAGATCGCTCATTTGCTCCAAAACCCTGTCACATTATTCAGAATAATGCTGAGCCTCTCCATAGAGCGAAATTGATTTTTCTTTACATGGTCTCTGGTGCCATCTATGTTTTCTAAGAAGCACTGCTTCATCAAGTCTGATAAAAACTGGAAACCAGAAAGAGTGCAGGTATCAGGGAAACAAGTGTTCTACCTCTGCTCAGAAGACTGAAGATAATAGAATGGCAGAAGGGCTGTACTGTTACATTTCACACGGAAGAGCCTGTTTTCAGCATGCCGAGTCAAGTGTTTATGCCTGTAGGATGTCAATCTTCTTGAAGAAGAAGTCACAGGGGTAGGTATGACGACAGCTTTAGAGGAATTCTGTATCGTCTAGGAAGATATTCTCTCCAAGCCAGGACAGGTTTTAGGTGATTGTAGCATGAGTTGTCGTTACTGCTCTCCTTTTGTGGAGGACGGCTCTTGGGCCGGCTGTCACTTTGTCGGTAGCGGTGAAAGTCATAAATAAGTAACGTTGCCCTGTTCTTGCTCTCCAGATCCTCACCAGAGACTCCGTGACTACTCAGGTGGATGGAGTTGTCTATTACAGAATCTACAGTGCTGTCTCGGCAGTGGCCAATGTCAATGATGTCCATCAAGCCACATTTCTGCTGGCTCAAACCACTCTGAGAAACGTCTTGGGGACACAGACCTTGTCCCAGATCTTGGCTGGACGAGAAGAGATTGCCCATAGCATCCAGGTAAAAACATGGAGAACTAAGAGACTGTATCTTTAACTCATTGATTTTAATTATTAGTGATCATTAAATATCAGCAGTTCAAAACAGCCCCCGCCACACGCATGCTTATACCCACTCACACACAGACAGCTGCTCTAGAGGTGAGCTTCAGTCGTGATTTCACTTACTTGCTACCACAAGAAATGTATTTAAATATCTGAGTGCAAGAAGGCAGTTTATCCATTTTATTTGGAATTTGAAATTATGAATTAACATTGTACAACTATAATCTTTTCTGAAGAAGTTAGAGATCAGATTTATTTTTAGTTTAAATGACTCCAGAAATGTAGCCATTTCTCTGGTTGCCTATATATTTAAATAAAGTGTGAAAGTTAAATTCATTTGAAACAGCATAGACCTGTCATCCCTAGAAATTCTTACGCCATGCCACCAATATCGCTAATAACATTAATAGTAATGATAATTATAATATCAAATGAAATGTAACAGCTATCGATCTCATCTCTTATACACACTAGTTTCCGGACAAGAATGCTTCTGTATTTTCTTAGATCAATTGCATTTGGATTCTGAGTTTTGTTTCTGTAAGTTAATTATATAAGGAAATTCAGCTTTAGTTCTTGGCCTCTCCTCTAGTCCCTAAGATAGAGGAAAGGTCCCAAGCTTTTATGCGGCAGTATGAGTTCTGCATGATAATTCTCCATAATGTTTGTATGTGCCTCATGAATTTAACAACTCAAAGGTATCCCATCTACAGCCAGGTCACTGACTTCTTGTGAGGTCTCATTACCTCTCAGTGTCCTGCAGGGATCACAGAAAGGCAAGGGAGGGATCACTTGCTATTTGGTAGCAGAGATCTCTGCCCCCACCCTTTCAGGGGTGCTATCCTCCTGATCCTCTCATTTCTCAAGACATTCATCTTCTCCAGGATGACCAGCAAAATATCTTCAATGGTTTTAAAGCTTTTACAAAAGACAAGAGTATCTTTGACTTTAAGCTGCTTCTGCTTTGAAAAATATGCCTTGCTTCTTCTTTAAAGCTGGCCATAGGGCAGAAGTTAAACAGAGCGAGGTAAATAGTCTCTTGAAAAGGACCCAATCATAATACGCATTGAGTCATTGCTAGGTACTGAGAGATATCTTGTATGTATTGCCTCCAAATCTAATAACAGTCCTGAAAGAAAACATTTTATAGGTAAGAAAACTGAGAACCAGATAAGTTGAGGAACTGTCCCAGTGATTCACAAATGCACATGGCAGAGCCAATGCAAAATCCAGGTCTGTCGGAGAAACCCATGCGTTGCTGCCTGCTTGAAACCAGTGACAAGGAAATCTGGGATATTTACTCAAATCCAGAGGGATCTCATATACTTCCTTGGGAATGATTTTGGGGTAGATCCTGCTGATAGACACCCACTAAAAGATCTGCCAGGTTAAATTCCTGAATTCTTAATGATATTCACTTTACATTCCAGAAAATGATCAATAGGAATATAAACTCTTATTCTCTTCCGAAATTGTCTCACTCCAAATGCTGTAAATGCAAAAGAAAGAAAGAAAAATTTATCTTGCAAGTATGAAACATTTTAGAAATGTACATCATATCACCTGTCCTCTTTGGAAACAGACTTTACTTGATGATGCCACTGAGCTGTGGGGGATCCGGGTGGCCCGAGTGGAAATCAAAGATGTTCGGATTCCTGTGCAGTTGCAGAGATCCATGGCCGCTGAGGCTGAGGCCACCCGGGAGGCCAGAGCCAAGGTAAGGGCTGTGCAGTCACACATGGAGAGAGAGCTGCCTCGTGTTGGGGTCAACAAGGATAGGACTTGAACAGAAGATTGGGTCTCTCAATTATTTCCATAAGAAAGGGGTTTCTTTTCACAGTCTTACTGAGCTATTTCCCTGAATTAAAAGGTAACAAGCAGCTTACTGTACCTTAAGGAAGTTTGGTAGCAGGTCCTGGGTTAAGAAGCTGCTCAGTAACATACTGAGCAACTTAGCCAAGCAGGTCCCAATTCTAACCACGTATCAGTGTTCCCTGGGAAGAATTTAACAAAACAAAACAAAATACCAGTTTCCAAGCCTTACTTCAAACCCAGGCTTGAAGCAGTCTCGAGTGGACTAAGAAATCTATATTTTCATAAAGCTGGTGACTTAGATGTAGCCAACATGGAGCCTGTTTTTTGCACATTATTGTTCGAGTATATTTAAATGTTGCTGGAATAAAAGGGGGCAATTGAATACAATCCAGGTAGGAATTACAACACGTGAGCGCACGCAGGTAGAAATTACAACACGTGAGCGCACCCAGGTAGGAATTACAAC